TATACCCTTCATACTATGGTGGAGGGTATAAAAATATTTATCAATTACAAGTCTTTTTGTGAACGAACGATTGAAGTAAAATTAAGGACAGAATATAAAGTATTTAAGAACAAAACGGAAGGATCGATTATGCTTAAAGGAACAATCAAAGTAAAATGAATTATATGGACCACCTAGTTCTTCTTGGATAATTCAAAATATTGTTTTTAAAATTCAATTCCATATACCTTCCCAAATAATTGCATACTGTCTTAGCGGTTTAAATGGCTTAACATTGGTAACTATGTTGTTACGATATCATAACAACAGAGGTATTTTTTTACAGAGTTGCCATATTTTGACTCTGTTTTGTCCCATTGTAATTTTGTCCCATAGAAGTAATTCTATGTCTTTGTGGATTACTTAGAAATCATTTTATGTAGGGAAGACTCTACATAAGATTACATTACAGCTTAAATCTACCTCAAACAATACATACGTTTTTTTTTTTTTTGTTTTTTTTTTTTTTTTTTTTTTTTTGTAAATTACTACCGCTTAGTATGTATATGTAAATAAATATCCAAATGAAATAATGTAATTTAGTTCTTATTTAATTTGAAATTAAAGACTCTATTCTCCAGGTCTTATACATATATTTCTGTTGTGTATGTGTGCTCGCAAAACTTTAAATGTTAATTGCGATTTGTTAATGTGACCTGACCTACACCCAGTTACATCTACATATATGTACGTATGAACAGTTTGAAAAACATTCTTGGCTATTCCAGTCAAGGTTAAGGTGTGACAAGTGGAACCAAATGACATCATTAACAACAGCAACAACACTAACAATAGGAAGTTTTAGCCGAAATTCAACAGTATCCTATTTCAAAACATTCGAAAGTTTAAATGATTTATATTAGGTTCTCATCGTATCCTTAGTTATTTTTGATGATGGGTGTTGAAAATCCATGACGTCAGTTTTTGCGAGAGAGAGAGAGAATGACAATTTCTCTGCTCTTCTTTAAATATGGGCCTAACTTAATTATCTTAGACCTTTTTGTTATTGGCATTGGACACGCGAAATATTGCGAATGGCTGAAAAAGAAAAAGACAACATTGAACAAAACATCGCAGAGCGAGCTTACCTACCATAACGACCCACAAAATTTTAATTATAATCCTCTGTACATGATTTAAAGTTCTTAGATGACCATTCGTGACACTCAGTGAATGGTGGCAGTAGGTGGACTAATTTTTGTAGAGTTACATTGGTCGAATTGATGTAATTCCAACTGATGTAGTCTACTCCAAAATGGCTTCGCTTGATTTACTCGAATTGACTCGATTGTGTTTGGGTCGGCTCGATGGTTTTCTGATTATGGCGGCGGTTTGATGATTGTAGAAGTCCGTTTAATGATACTCGAATTATTTAATCAGCTTATATCTATTTCCAGAAATAAACGAGCTAATGTAAGCGTTTATTCCCCAAAAAATCCTGGTTACCAAGTAGTAAGTAACGTCGGCACTGAGTGTGTGTGTCCGACTACAAAATCGAAAGGTTTGAGTTCGAGAAGGAAGCGAGATAGACCCATAGTTACTTTTGAGGATCTTCATAGAATCATTTTCTGAATTGATTTATGCATGTCAGTCCGTCCGTCCGTCCGTCTGTCCATGTATTCTTGTGAACAAAATGCAGGTCGCATTTATTATCCGATTGAGATGAAATTTTCCAAACAACATTTGTTTGGCCCAAGTATGAACCTTATTGAAATTGGAGATAATCGGTAAAAATTTAGATATAGCTCCCATATATATCTTCGTTCGATTTGTATTTTATTGTGCACCAAACGTGTAATATCAGCCCGAATAGTATGGAATTTTGCACATACGACCAATTTAGGCCTGAAAATATGTATGCCAAATTTGATCGAAATCGGTTCAGATATAACTATAGCTCCCATATATATTGTTCATCCGATTTGTTATTTTTGTCCTTCGCAGCCGTAATATGTACTCTGTAACAACAATATTTGGGGACATATATCAAATGCAGCTTAGAAATATCTTTGCTAAATTTTATCGAGATCGGTTCAAATTTGGATATAGCTCCCATATATAACTTCGTCCGATTTACATTTTATTATGCACCAAGCGTCTAATATTTGGCCAAATGGGATGGAATTTGGCTCATACGACCGAATTGAGTCTAGAAGCTAGCATGCCAAATTCGGTCCAGATATAGCTATAGCTCCCATATATACTGTTCCTTCGATTTGTAATATTTGTTACCCACTGCCGTAATACGCACTCCGTAACAACAATATTCAGGGAAATATATCAAATACAGCTCAGAAATATCTTTGCCAAATTTTATCGAGATCGGTTCAGATTGGGATATAGCTCCTATATATATCTTTATCCGATTTCAAATTATTTTTGCACCAAATGGGCAATACAAGTCCGAATTTAAAAAATACAAATGCTTCGGCATATTAGTCCTTTGAACTTTAAATAATAATTATAATCATAGCGTGTATGATTGAATTCTCCTCTTTGCTCTACTGAATTGGCAAAGTGGTGTAGGGTATCATAAAGTCGGCCCCGCCCGACTTTAGGACTTTCTTTACTGCTTTTTATTATACCGTTGTATGTGTATTTTTCTGTAACAGATAAAATCTCCTCTAACAGATCAAATTGTCTTCTACGGTACTCAGCAACACCAAAACCCATTTGATGTTACACTCACGCACACCTTCTTCCCTCCACATACATATTATGGAGGTTTATTACTTACAAAAATATAATTACAAAATAATAATTTTAGACAAACAAAATATATCCTATAGCCTCCATATAATTGTATTTTGAAGATTTTATTATTAGATTCCAAACTACATTTTGGCACCAGTAACTACTTACAAACCAGACACATGTTCCGACAGATGTATACCCTCAGCCAATGTACAACAATCTATACAGGGTGAGATAAAAAACTGCAACAAATTCAAACGCCATATTTTTTAATTTTTTTTTAAACTTTATTGAATGAAATCAAAAAATGTCGGAAATAGCATCAAGTTTTAGAATAAGTTTAGATTTGTTCGAATTGGTCACCTTTCGTACGAATTATGGCCTTCAAACGGCCAATGAAACCGTCCCACGCTGCCCGAATGTTGCTCTGCGATATTTTGGGCCATTCCCGGCGAAGCGTTTGCTTGAGGTGATCAACACTTTGGTATTTTTAAGTGCTAATCTTGCTTTCCAAAATACTCCAGACAAAATAGTCCAACGGATTCCGGAGATTTTGGTGGCCATTCTGCGCTGGAAATGAAGCGAGGAACCTTATTTTGTAACTATTCTTGGGTGCTGAGTTCTGTTGGAATGTCCAAGGTTTCGCGATAATGAAGGTCGGTTTGTGATAAAGAGGTGGCTTTGGAAATGTGTACTACATGTGCACGAAAAGTACTAAATGACATTGGGTGAAGCGATAGATATAAACAATGTAGAGGGGAGGTTCCGAAAGAGTGCGTCAATATTGCTTACTTCGTAACTGACATAAGTCTGATATAAATATTACAACGTGTCTAATTGGCACAATATCGACTACTTCTTTCACTTTGTATGAGATATGTGATAGTTTTTAGAAAATACAAATATGTACCAATTTCATCCGATACTGATAGTCCAAAATTTAAAGAAAATCGAACACTTATTTCCAAAATTATATGAATAATTTTTAACAAAAGTTTTAAATTTTTGTAGAGGATATATTAGAAGGATTTTGCTGATAAGTTCCACAACTAGATGTACAAACTAATTGCTATTTTGTATTCAAAATGTTGACCCGTTGTGGGGGAGGTACCATAAGGAATGTTTTGTTCTACCACATCTTCATACCATGCCACACCGTCTTAGTAGAAATATTGAGATATACGAAATTTGAAGAAAATTGGACCTCTATTTAGGCCAATAAAAGAGTTATAATTTTTCCAAAGTTTGTTTGCCGATATTTTCAGTTTTTGCACCAGATGTAGTACTGATAAAAACATCCGGATTTGCAAATTTTACACAAAATTGGATGTTCCTCTCTTGTTCTATAAGCTAAAATATTTTCTCTGAAGATTTTGCCTTTTATGTGGGAGGTACCAGAATTATCGTGTTCAGAAATGTATTTGGCTCAAAGACGAGACACGTTTTGACCGAATCAAATTCATATATACCCTCTGTAGTCATATGGCTGAAAGTATAAAAATTAGGATTCTTTTCAAATTCTGATTGGATATCTTTACTTCAGGATTCAAAAAGGATCCAGCATATGTTTACCATATTTTGGCAGTGAATGGGGGAGAATTGGTGCTGACGAAATCTTATATTGAAACAGGGAATTTATTTTTGAGAAAAGAAATTGGCTATTTGAGTATTAATTACATGTTATGTCTTTAGAACGGTTTAAATGTGAAATAGGTTGATACTTACTTATTAAAACTATGTCTAAATCGATTTCTTCTCACTGATGTAAGTTTAGGTTGTATGTGACCTCCCGAACCAAATATCATTGCTATGAAGTGCAGTCTATGACTTTCAGAATACTTAAATATAAAAGCGGATAAAACATATATTTAGGAGCTGTAGTCATATCTAAACCGTTATTTATCAAATCTAAAAAAAACTTAGTTAAAGGCTTAATTCATCTGTGCTAAAATGTACCAAATTTTGGCATATATTACGCATTTGCTGAAATATAGACCGAAAATCGGGCTATAATCGGGTGCTATAACTAAATCTGGAAGGATTATCACGAATTACAATATCGTTCGACCTTGGGCTAAACAAATCATTTGTGCAAAATTTTATCTTGATCGGGCAATAACTGCAAACTGCATTTTGCTTACAAAAATATGTTTTTTTTTAACTTTAAATATTCCTTCAAAACTAATGCTGGATAACCAACTATTTCAATATTTGTATTATCTTTTCTGCAAAGAAATTTACGAATTCAAGATACCAGTTCATTAGTCTTATAGAAAAGTTGTATATTTATTAGTTGTTTTTAATATTTTTCCAACGACAAAATTCCGCCACTTTTCGATTTAGTTGCATTGTCCGTATCTTGTTGCTTCAGTTCCTCTCGCAACTCATTATGCCACTGCCTATAGAGAAGATAAACTGGCCAAAAGATTGCTGCTTGGATTGCTAACAGAAAATGTTAACTTAGAACCTATTTCATTGTGGGATATTAAACTGTTTAAACTTACAAACACAAGACAAATTAACAATTAGCTTGATAAAAAGTTTCGCAAATGGTCCTCTATGCCAAAGACCCCAAACGAAATGACGAAATGATAGGAAGGCATACATCCATGTACCGCCATATACCAAATAGACAAAGGGTGCCATCAGCTTAGGTTGTTTCTGAAATTAAGAAGAAAAAAAGAAAAATAGATAAACATAAGTAAAAAAGCGTAAAGTTCGGCAAGTTCGAAATTTAAAGCAATGTGACTCTTTTAAAAATATGCCTCTAAGTGGCGAGATCTATTATTCGAGCAGTGCAAGCTATTTCTGCTTGGATATCATATTTCTAGTTTTGAAAAAAAATATAACTTGAAAATTGTGGTTAAAATCATTAAAAACGTGAAATGGTGAGGGGGAGGGGGTGTAACGTAATATGAGGTTTATATGATAAATTTGATCTATATATGAAGAAGTTACCATCAGAGGAGATGGATGGTAACTTTAAATATCAAATTTTTATATACTTTACTATACTATATATTTTTTTCGAGGAAAATCATCAAAAGACTCTGGCTACCTGTTTGCGCCAGGTGTGCGAGACATTAACACGCTTAAATAACCACTTTACTCTGACCCACAATCCCTACGGTATCCCAGTACAAGCATTTCTTTTCATGACTTAATCCCTTATTCAACACGTGGTTTTATCCTTCAGAATTGAGTGGTTAAATGCGCAATATTCCATCCATGTACTTTTACTATACATCATTTCCTTTAAAAGATCATCAACTGTCATCCGACAATAAATTCCATTCATCTCTCTTACGTTTTCCCACCTTCTGAATTTATATTCTATAGATTCACGACACATTCCACAAATTGAATTTCCTTTTATTTGGAATCTGTGCAAATAGCTGCTGAAGTTACCATGTTTACTAAAAACTTGGCTATAATAGAAATCTAGATCTTCGTGTTTTCGGTTTAACCAAGGCTTTATATATGGTATAAGTCTATAAATCCATCTGCAGAATTGCTCCACGAAATCTGCCATTGCTCTAGCAATATGTTCCTCCCTCGTTTTATGTCCTCCACCTTGAAAAGGAGGGTATATTAATTTTGTCATTCCGTTTGTAACATGCTTAAATATTCGTCGTAGTATGGGGTCATAATCAGCATAAAATTCTAAGTCGACTTAACCATGTCCGTCTGTCTGTCTGTCTGTTGAAATCACGATACAGCCACATTATTTGACGTAGAGCGCCAAAATTTAGCAGAGCATTTTGTATTGTGTCTAGGATGATTGGTATTGAAAATGATATAACGGTCCACGTTTCGGAATAGTCCCCCTATAACGGTACCTCCCGATATTCGGTATTTTGATCATTTATGCCACATTTTTTCACGAATTTGTCTGAAAATTGGTATTTGTAGGTCATAACGGGTCCCTGTGCGTGTGGCAACACATTGCATGTATAGGTCCACTCGTTGGTTAAGCCCCCATATAAATGTATCTCCCGATATTCGGTATTTTGATTATTTTTGCCACATTTCTTCACAGATTTGTCTAAAAATTGGTATTTGTTGGTCACAATGGGTTCCTGCTCCGGTGGCGAAACATTGCATGTATAGGTCCACGCTTTGGTATAGCCCCCATATAACGGTACCTTTCGATATTCGGTATTTTGATGATGATTTTATCACATTTTTTCACTGATTTGTCTAAAAATTGGTATTTGCAGGTCATAATGGGTCCTGGTTCCTGTGGCGAATTATAGGTCCACGTTTTGATATAATCCCCATATAACGGTACCTCCTGATATTCGGTATTTTGATGATTTTTGACACATTTTTTCAAGAATTTCTCTGAAAATTGGTAGTTGTAGGTCATGATGGGTCCTAGTTCGTGTGGCGAATCATTGTAATTGTAGGATCATAATAGGGTCATAATGAGCTCTAATGTTTCCTTTACCCTAAGGTGGAGGGTATTAAAAGTTTGGCCCGGCCGAACTTAATGTTTTTTTACTTGTTTGATTTCGCTCAGCTCATTTTTCGAGTATCCATTTGGCAGAGATCTTCGCTGCTCGTATGTGTATTTTCTGTCTCTAAGCTTATAGTGATCGGTGGTACTCCTGATATATATGGTTAGTGCCTCTGTTGATGTCGTTCTGTATGCAGATATAACTCTTAGTGTGCATACTCGGTGTACTCTCTCTCTCTAAAAGTCTGCAAAGTTTTTTGCTTTTCCCTACATCATTACTTATAATAGGAGTCGCGTACATTGTTTGTGCACATGCATAGCAGCAGCAAGCTACAACTGTTTTGAGGTCAGCCATCTTGAGATCCTTGCCAGACTATCATTAGCAGTAATTTTAACTAGTGGAGCTAGAGGTTGGTCAACGACAAGTTCTAATTGATTTTTCATCAGGGTTATATTCATTTTTACCCTTTGTCCGTTTTACAACTAACCACTGGGGTGTGTTTATGTGTCATCTACGTCTTTCTCTGGTTTAAACGTACGCACTTTTTTATTTAATGTGCTCTTGCTCCTCCTCCAGTTCTAACTGTAAGATATAAAAATAATCATCTTTTGCGTTGGATGTGGTTATACTTTGGAATATCATTCCTATCAGTGTAGATGTTATCCTAGGTGGGGTTCTTCGTAAGGTACTGCTTGGTTTAAAAGGGTTTACCATCGTTTTGTTTTCTTCTCCATTAATGTTGTTATTGCTATTCATTTCTTCACTGGGTCCCAACTTATGTCCGTTATCTTAGTTCGATGTGTAGTTACGTTTGTTGGTCCTATGGTTGTGTATGCAAGCAGGGAGGCGATGCAAGGGTTGACACAGGATCCTTACGAAATCCTGCGTTCAGAGCCAAACCCGTATAAATCAGAACAACAGTCAACTGAACCTACACCACCAACGAAACTAGGAGCGTACCATAAGCCTTCTCACATTTTAAAGGGACGACGGCAGCTGGAGCATTAACCCGAAAGCCATTTCAGTCAGATTTCACTCCACGCACTCAGGTTCCGGCATACTGCAGCTGTCAGGCCAGGGTTTCAAAAAATCAAAGGAAATGGTTGAAATGGCTAAAACTAGGGTCCGCGGGTTCGGAAAATGTGTTATCTATTATCCACTCCAAAGACCAAAAACCATCGAAATACCAATAATTGGGAGGAGCTTTTATATTTAGTCTATAACATAACTTGGATCCATATGCACAGTTCTTCTTCCAAACCGTGAATTTGGGTTCTTTCTATTCGGAAATATTTATTATATAAAAATAAGTATTTTCCAATATTTTACAATACTCACCCTACTTATGCCAACAATTAAAACTATAGAAAACGCCAACATGCACAGGAAATACAGTAGCAAGGCGACAAAATAGGACAGGATAATGGTTCTGTTATCTTCTGGAAATACAATGCAGCTATACAGTAAAAATAAATACAAAACAAAAAAGTATTTCTCACCATAATCCTTCACCGCCACAGATGCCACATCCTCGTGATCACATACCATGGCCAATATGGTCATGAAAACAAATGATCCCACCACACCGAGGGCCACATGAAAATAGGTTGATATAACAGATAAACATTTGAGTCGATCCCATGTGTACATCGGAACAAGTTCGGCAACCCAAAACGAAATATCCAATAAATCCAATCTGCCAACAATACCGTCCGCCTTGCCTCTTTGCCACAAACTAATACTGAAAATTGAAACGCTTCACAAAAAAGGAGTTTTGTAATATCTCCCAGTTTTGTGTTTCTTTGCTCTTCATATCGTGTTTTTGTGTCGTGTTCTGTTCCAGTTGAAATTCAACATGGGCCATTAAAGGACACACGTGCACACACGTGCACACACAATTACACATTATGGTACGTGTATACACACCTGTTAATTTATTTAAATATAAATCTCGACAAGCCCAAAAAATGGCGAATAAATTAAGAGCGAGTTGAGATGGGATAAGGGAATTTAGTTTTAATATATGTAAAAATAAAATTAAATTCGGCCGGCTTGAAATGATAATTACAAAATTATGAAGAACGTTTCAAACTTTAATAATTCTGTGTACAAGCGAGAGGGTATCATAACATGAGGGATGGAACAAGTAACAAGTAAAAAAAAAATAAGTTCGGTCGGGCCAAACTTTTAATACCCTCTACCTTAGGTTAAAGGAAACATTAGAGTCCATTATGACCCACATATACCAATTTTTTGACATACTCATGGGAAAATGTGCCAAAAATCATGAAAATACCGATTATCGGGGAATACGGCTATATGGGGTTATATAAAAACGTGGACCTATACATACAGTGTTTCGCCAAAAAAAGCTAGAAACCATTAAGACCAACAAATCCGTGAAAAAATGTGACAAAAATCATCAAATTACCAAACATCAGGAGGTACCTATACGATACCAAAACCTGGACCTATAATATACCATATAAGGGTACCTCCCGATATTCGGTATTTTCATGATTTTTGTCCCATTTTTTCATGGATTTTTCTAAAATTTGGTATTTGTAGGTCATAATGGGTCCTAGTTCGTGTGGCGAAACATTGTATGTATTGGTCCACGCTTTGGTATAGCCCCATGTAATGGTATCTCCCGATATTCGGTATTTTGATGGTTTTTGTCACATTTTTTTCACGGATTTGTCTAAAAATTGGAATTAGTTGGTCTTAATATGTTCTAGCTCCGTTTTTCTATATCCCTACATAGCGGTACCTCCCGATATTCGGTATTTTGATGATTTTTGCCACATTTTCCCAGGAATATGTCTAAAAATTGGTATTTGTGGGTCATAATTGGTTCTAATGTTTTCTTTACCCTTAGGAGGAGGTTATTAAAAGTTCGACCCGGCCGAATTTAATGTTTTTTTTTTACTTGTTTAATATAATCGTTCTCGAAGTCACACCATGCACTCTATAGCAATGTTAGTTGGCATAAAAGGTTAAAATGTATCCGTTAAATTTAGTTAAAATCGATTCAGAATTTGTTATACCTCCCATATATTATTTCCCTCTGAAACCAAACTAAACCTGTTCTAAAGTCAAATATTGATTGGTGGTATGATCTACTTCAAATAATTATTTTGTTACGGCAGCTCTACTAAATCTGTATAGTGGTGTAGGTGGTGGTATCATATAGTCGCCCAG